GCTGGAGGAAGACAGGGAAATTATTTTTCCCCCCCTGACTTCCGTAGTCTTTTTTAGTGACTAATTAGAGTTGGCACGCACACCCGTGAGTGTGGTTTCAGTCTGAGGCCGGCCAAACATCCTCCCTTCCCTGGCCTGAGGTCTCTGAGGCCAGTAACTGGGGAAGGCTGGCCTATGATGGAATTCCTTTGAAGGGAAAGCTTTTAACTGGTAAGGCAAGCTCAGGGCTACCAGAAAAAAAGGCAAAAAAAAAGTTTTTAGCCCCTTCGTTAGGGTTGCATTGTACCTACACATCCATGAACTTGGTCAAAGCAGCTACCAGCCTTTCTCGAGACCCTGGGACAGACGATGTAGAAAGGGCTACACCAGGCTAGTGTGCAGAATAAAAGGTCCCGGGCTTGCTTCTCTCCAACTCATTTCTTTCTGCTATGAGCTATTGGCTTGGCTTGTCATTTTTTTTTTGTCTTCTAGAAGACATTGAGCTAATTTAAAGAGCTGGTTTCCAAGGCCTGTGTGAAGTGATAACAGAGTAAAACTAGCTGATTTTAAACATAACTGACCATAACTATGCGTGGGTGGTGGTGCTGGTCCAAGATCTGTGATTTCAGAGGGGAAAGGAATTCTCAAGACTAAGATGGATAAATTGCAGATCAGCCACTCATGTAATAATAATAACATTGCTATAGCACTGTAACAGTTTGTGAGTTGTTTTGTTCAGGTAAACTCATTTGATCCTCCCAACATCCTTGTAAGGTTAGTGCTAGAAAAGAAGGAAACGGAAGCAGAGATATCAAGAGCCTGGTATGGGGTCACCGCGCTGGAACGTGTTCAAGGAGGCACTGGAATCTGCCTTCCAGACTAAGCCTGACCTGCCCACGAGCTCGTGCTACCACTCATTCCTCTGTGTATGAAGGAAGGAAAACATTCAAAGATGAAAGAACTTTAGGCTGGGTGGGAAGGGAACGCAGTGGTAAGGCATTTTCTTTGCTGAGCTTTATGTATGGTTCTGCTTTGTTAAAGGGTTTGGGGTAAGATTTTTGCCCCTTATTTGTATGCTTTTTTTTTTCTAGCAATAGAGATTACATTTATAATAATAATTTAAAGAGCCCAGTTTTCTAGATAGCGTGGGCTTCCGTAGGAGAAATACTTCAGAGTTGGGCAAAATTAAAAATATCTCGCTGTTCAAAACAATCTTCGTCCCCTCCCCTACTCCCTACAAGCATTGCTATCAGGTCATAGGCACCCTCCTTTTTCAACAGCTAAAGGATCTGCTTGTTAGCTTAATTTTAGGTAACCATGGCTTAATGGGGTAGAGCAGAGGGAAGGCATTTCATTTTTTCAAGATCTATTCAGACATTAGGCTAGTCTGCCTTTGATATTTGAATCTGTTTATCTCCAGCAGACAGTGATTTTGCCACATATTCCCAGCAGCAGGGGTGGGTGGAATGGTGGGGGCAGGAGTGTCCAGGGGCTGATGGTGGGGATGGAAACGGACCAACTTAGCCTGCCTTCTGGAGGCCACAGGAGCATTCTGTGAAGGGCAGGAGTGGCATCTGTGGATTTATGTGTAAGCAGCCAGCTGAGACGTAGCTAAAGCCAAGCAGATAACTACGGCAGTGTGAGATAACCACTTCCTTCAATCAGGCACTGGGCACTGATCCTAGGCCCCGCTACTCCCTCCTCCCCCTGCCTGCTGCCAGCCTGAGGTCAGCTCTCTGGCAGACACATAGCCTGGCTCAAGGTAACCTTTCTCTACTCCAGCTGTGACCCTGCTTCCCTTTTCCTTTTCCCCTCCTCCCCTTTTCCTTTTCCCCTCCTCCCTCTGGCCCCCTGGCTTGGCCTGGCTCCATCCCCACCCCTGGAAGGTTGGAAGTTGTCCAACCCCCCTTACTCCTCATCCCCCTCTCCTCTGAGGAGGTTTGGTTCTGGTTCCGGTTCCAGTTCTGGTGCTGGTGCGGCAATCCACCTAGTCTGAGTTCAGCAGTGGGGACTTGGGCTCCAGCCATGGTGTCGGCTGGTAAGAATCACTTCTAAGGGGAAGTATTTCCAATTGCTCAGGCTGGGAAGCCGGGGACCTCAAGCCTCCACATGTAAGAAACATGAAAAGGCTCATGTATGAAGGAAAGACAAGCTCTGCAGTTTTTAGAATAGCGTAGTGCTTGGTGTAAATTTCTCTACCCCTTCACCCAGGAGATAGCTTATTTGCTTCTACCATCTAAGGAGGACGGAAACATGTAGCACTTTCCCTGCCCCTGAAAGGAGGTGTGAGTGATGGGAGGTGAAAATTCTGAGATCTCTGGGCAGTGTCCCCCAAGCTGACGTGTTCTTGTCAGTCCCCTTCCTTTCCCCTCCCCTTAGGGCTAGGCTACTTAACACTCAGCACTGCCGTCATTTTCCCCTTGCTTTGGAGTACTTATGGGCTGATGGCTTTGCTTAAAAACTGCTCTTGGCTCTGGCCAGCGGCACATAGTTGACACCCCATCTCCCCACATGAAGGCTCTGTCCAAGTGAACTCTTCCCCTCACCCCCCCCCCCCCCCCCAAAGTGGCCAATTCCTTTTGGGCCGTGGATCCATAAGGCATCTGACCCAGGTCTTTCCTGCAGTAGGTACAGGATGGCAAGAGCCAGAAACAGGGTTGTGTTGGATGCAATGCAACCTGCCTGCTGTAAGCTATGAGACTTAGATATATTCTACCAATTAGGACACATCTGTTCAGAAATGTTAAAAGGCAGGTACTGTCTCTTTAAGAGCCATCCCACTCCTCTCCTTGAGTGATGAGGGCTGGGAGCATGAGGGAGTCAGATGCTGATTAAACACTCCTACCGCAGAGCTCTGTTAGAAAATTACTGTAATTATGATCTGGTCCCAGCAGAGGGATGAGTTCCAATCCTGCTAATAACCCTTCCAGGTGCCTCAGATCTTGGGCCTGGGGGAACCCAAATTGTCAGAGCTCTGGTGGGTACCAGGTTCCACAACCCTTCTTCTTGCTGACCTAATGCTTGGAAGGGCAGCGCCTAAACTGGCTGCCCACCTCCTTGACCAGTCCCAGGCATCGGGTCAGGTGCTGGCTTTCCTTTAGCGTGTTGTCTTTTTGGACTGTCTACATCAACAGCTCCAAGGAGATATCTTTAAATAAGCCAGGGTCAAAGGCTGTGAAACTCAGAGCAGCCCAGAAGAAGGAAAGCTGTCCTGAATCCCTTCCGTTCTGCCTGGGGACTGCAGCAAGGGTATCAGCACCCCAACCCGACTTTGCATCAACCCCACCCCATGCCAAGCTGCACCAGAAAGACACGAGGCAGGGACGTTCCCGGTTTGGAGCTGCCTCTACTTATTTCCATTCCAACCCCAAAGCTTCTCCCCAGGACTGGAATTAAACTTCTTGTACTCATCTTTTAGAGAGGTTTGTGGCAAGGAAGGGGAGAGAAGGTGTGTGCTTGGGGAGAAGGGGAGGAGGGACGTTAACTGTGGCTCTGCAGTGAACGAGAGAGAGAGAGAGAGAGAGAGAGAGAGAGAGAGAGAGAGAGAGAGAGAGAGAGAGAGAGAGAGAGAGAGAAAAGCTGGCTAGAAAACATATGCTTGGCATCTAAATATTTGCAAATATGACTGCAACCAGTAAACATAAAAACAGCACAAGTCAGGGGTGAGTTAAGGTTAAAATGATGTCACCAGGCAGGCATATCTTGGAGATACCTTTGGAGCAAGGGGATTGGATGCTGTTTTTGTTGTTTTGATTTTGAGCCACTGGGCATTTGTATCTGGGTTGTTCCCCACAGCTAGGAATGGGAAGATACTGACGCTTTATAGTTTATGAAGCATTTCATTGGAGTCTCACCACCCCGTGAGAGAGGAACTAGAGGAATTTTATGGATGAGGAGACTGAATTTGTGTCTTGCCCTTCGTCACTCTGCTGGGCAGGATTCAGACTCGGGCCTTCCTGATTATACCTTCTCCACTACCCATCTCAAGTACTTCACTTTGAGCCAGGGTAAGGGAATTGAGGGGTAGAAAAGGAATTGCCAAGGGAAGACGCTTGATGCTTTCCAGCTCTGCTTAGGGTAGCGCTAGTGCCACTGGTGGGGTTTTACCGTAGTCCAAGAGCCCTCTGTCAAAGGAGTCAAAGCTCCTGAAGGTTTGTACCTTCCTGCCATACACCTGTGTAAACATCTCCATCTCCATCTCCCTCTGAGAACAGTAACCAAATTGATACCACCATTGCTTCTGTAAAAGACCTGTTAATCAGCTGTCAACCCTATGACTTTATTCATCATCACTGTAACTTCCCAGGCCAAAACACCCCCTTCCTGGCCAGCACTCCTCTCTGTGTTGTCTCCACTTAGTAGGATGTAATGGGCAACTAGGTGGTACAGTAGATAGAGCCTCAGGCCTGGAATCAGAAAAACCTGCCTTCAAATTTGGCCTCAGACACATCCTAGCTGTGTGACTCTGGGCAAGTCACTTAACCCTGTTTGCCTCAGTTTCTCATCTGTCAAATGAGCTGGAGAAGAAAATGGTAAACCACTCTGGTATCTTTGGCAAGAAAACCTCAAATGAGGTCACGAAGAGTTGGATAGGACTGAAAATGACTAAACATTAGGATGTAAACTTCTTTTTCTTCATCTTTTCTTTTTTTAGGACAATTGGGGTTAAGTTACTTACCCAGGGTCACACAGCTAGTAAGTGTCAAGTGTCTGGTCTGAGGCCAGATTTGAACTCAGGTCCTCCTGACTTCAGGACTGGCACTCTATCTACTGTGCCACCTAGCTGCCCCAAATGTAAACTTCTTAAGGACAGGGACTATCTTACTTTTCTATTTGTATCTCTAGCACTTAACAGTGTTTGGCACAAAGTAAGTGTATAATAAATGCTTATTCATTTTTTTTTAAACTAGATTTCTTTATTTTTATTTTTTTATTTTTTTAGCGGTGAGGCAGTCAGGGTTAAGTGACTTGCCCAGAGTCACACAGCTAGTGAGTGTTATGTGTTTGAGACTGGATTTGAACTCTGGTCCTTCTGACTCCAGGGCTGGTGCTCTATCTACTGTGCCACCTAGCTGCCTCTAGGTTTCTTTATTTCATCCAAGTTGGAAGGGCATCTGCCCTCCCAGGCCTAATCCTACTACTGATTGGGACAGGACCTGCTCCATTTCTCACCTGGGACGGCTCCCCCCTTCTTAGGCAGCTTGGTGAACCACCCTAACCGAGGGCTCACCCTATTGGTGCCAGACTTAGTGTGAATGCCCAGTTGACATCCTGAGTTCAATTACTCCATCAGTCTCAGCCTTCCTGGTAGCAGGGATTACACCAGGCTCATATATCCATTCTCCTGTCCAGATTTCCCCTCTCCCCTCAGAGATTGGCACTCCAAATGGTCAGTCTTTTCAGTACCCACTTGAAATAGCCTGATCCAGAAGTGGGAGAAAAAGCTCTGGCTCTTTCAAATGCTCTTGTGATGATGGTTTTGATGATAAAGTCAAAGCTTTGAACATTAAACTGTTTTTCAGGCATCACCGCCCACTTGCCTTTTCTGTGGCCTTATTTTCTACCACTGAAGTGTCTGGGAAGTGGATATACTTAGGGCAGTCCTCAAGCAGGGAGAAGTAACTGAGGACTCTAGCCTGGAGCCTTGCACCTTGCAGGCACTAAATAAATATTTGTTGACTAAATGAATGGTTATATGGATGAACAAATGAATGGATAGGCCAGCTTACTTCAGGGCTAGCCATTTTCAAGTGCCTGATTTGGGACCCAAGTTTTGCCTGGGAAATGTTTATGGATGACTCAGTGTTCCCATGTGGGGGACAAAAAGGTGGCCAGCTGCTCGCAATCAGGTTGAGAGTCTCTCTAGTGGAACCAGATGTCTTCTTTGAGGACCGGCACTAGAATCCTCTTGGAAATCACTCCTGCCACAGGAGGCAAGGAGGCATCATACAGTTGCCCAGCTCTACAAAATGATTCAATGGCACTCTGCCAGGCACAGAGGGGAGGCTGGCTGTGATGGGGTCCCCATTAGGGAGCTTAACACACACACACACACACACACACACACACACACAGAGCTGCTGAAAACTCGCCAGCTCCAGAAGCAGCCTCCTGCCAGGGACGCCAGATCTTCCCCAGAATGGTCTGGGCAGCAAAGAAAGGAAACCCAAGTTGGCAGGTTCTATATTAAGAGCCAAACCCTGTGGAGAAAGGAGTTCATTAGGGGTGGTAAGCTAAGCCAAGTGATGGGAGTTCCAGGTAATATCTTCAGCTCTACTGCTGAATGACTAAGTCACTGGTTCAGTCCCTTTCTCTTCGTGATACCTCAGTTTCCCCAAGTACAGCTATATTTGTGAAAAGCTTCTTGAATAAATGGAGTGCTATTTGTACAGTGCTGAAAATGCTATTGTCTGAGATAAAAGAAAAAGGTCCTTACATTTTAAAGAAGAAAACATGGTTGAATGAGATAATGTATATAATGTATTTTTATATATGAGATAATCTATATAAAACTTTAACACTTGAGAGGAAAATATTTAAATTAAAATATAAAATACATTATAAGATGTTTGTAATGTGTGTATATATAAGGCATTTTTAATGACCCTAACATGCTATGTAAGCATGCAATTATTACCCCTACTGTGTTCTCAAATAGTTCACTATTATCTGTGGAAATTGAATAAATGGATTATATAGTGAAGTAGAAAGAATACTAGATTTGGAGTCAACCTCAAGGACCTTCGATCAACTCTCACTACTATTCCTTACTAGCTGTGTGATCTTGTATAAGTCACTTAGTTCTCAAGTCTTTTTTCCCTCCAGGCAGCTGTATTCCCAGTATCTCACAGGGCTGTCTGAGCGAGGGTTTGAAGCCAGGTTTCAACTCCAAGCCCAGCACTCTATCCACTGCACCACCTAATTGCCTTGCTTGTTCTACTATTGGAATATGAGCTCTTTGAGGGTAAGAAATAGTTCATTTTTATCCTTGTAGTGTATGTTGTTGTTCAGTTGTATCTGACTCTTCACAACCCCATTTGGGGTTTTCTTGTCAAAAGTGGCTCGCCATTTCCTTCTCCAGCTTATTTTACAGATGAGAAAACTAAGGCAAACAGGGTTAAGTGACTAGCCCAGGGTCACACAGCTAGGAGGTGGCTGAGGCCAGATTTAAATATAGGACTTCCTGACTCCAGGCTGGGTGCTCTGTCCATTGAGCCATCTAGCTGTTTGAAGTTTCTAATGGAAAGCAAAATAGCTATGAGATGAGTGACAAGAGGGACGGAGAGAAACATGATTGGACTAATCTACAAACTAAGAAATTAACTCCTGAGTGTGAGGGGTTGGCATAAATCTTTGGCCGTAAAGGCCCATTCAGAAGATGATTTAACACCAGATTAGGCTAGTACTTTGGACTTGATCCACTTAGGTGGCACAGTGGATAGAGTATTGGGCCTGGAGTCAGCAAGACTTGAGTTCAAATCTAACCTCAGACACTAGCTGTGTGACCTTGGATACTGCCTCAGTTTCCTCATTTGTAAAGTTACCTTCTCCCAGAATTGTTGTGAGGATCAAATATTTGTAAAGCATTTAGCACAGTGCCTGGCCCATAGCAAATGCTTGTTGTTATTATTACTATTATTGTTATTTATCCTTTACTATTGATGGGGGGAGGTGAAGTACATCTGACCCTAATGCTCCTAAGAACTTTGTCCTGTTGCAAGAGAACAGTGTAATCATGCTTCTGAATAGACTTTGTATTTATTGACTAACCTGTGAACCTAAGATCATGGAGCAGAGGTGGCGAATCTGCAGGTTCCCCACCCCTGATTTAGAGTCTGAAGGGACCTTAGTGTTCATCCAGTCCAGACCAACCCTCTCATCTTACAGTTGAAATTGAGCCAAAAGAGGTTAAATGACTTGCTTAGTGTCCCACAACTAACAAATATCTGAGGGAGAACAGAATTCAGGTTTTCCTAGGTGGAAACTAAGTGGCACAGTGGATAATAGAATGCTGGGCCTGGAATTGGGAAGATTCATCTTCCTGGCCTCAGACACTTCCTAGCTGTGTGACCCTGGGCACTTAACACTTCACCCTGTTTGCCTCAGTTTCCTCATCTGTAAAATAAGCTGGAGAAGGAAATGATAAACCAGTCTGGTGTCCTTGCCAAGAAAACCCCAAATGGGGTCATGAAGAGTTGGACTTGATTGAAAATAACTGCACAGCAACAAAAGCCAGGAACTCTATCCACTGTGCCATCTAGTCGCCACATTTTGCTCCCTGGTAGAATGTCTGCCCTTGGAGGGAAAGGAATCTTTTGTTTTTGTCCTTGTATTCCCAGAATCTAGCACAGTCCCTTGCATGCAGTAGGCACTTAAAAATATTTGCTAAATTGAACCAAACCCTTTCCTTCTTCCCTCTAATAGCTCACACATAGGATCATAAGGCCTAGAACCTGAAGAAATCAGAAATTCAGTGTTCCTGCTCTTCCTGTTTCCTATTTTCTTTCTCAGAAGAATCCCATTATAATGGGCTCCCCCTTCAAAGATTTGGAAGTCCTGGAATCAAGGGACAGAGGAACCTAACCATATCATCTCATACAAACAATCTCATACAAAAGAAACTGAGGCCAGGGAGGGAGGGAAGGAGTGATTTGCCCAAGATAGGTGTTACTCAGTTGTGTCTGACTCTTTGTGACCCTGTGGACCATGCTGTCCATGGGGTTTTCTTGGCAAAGATACTGCAGTGGTTTGCTTTTTCCTTCTCCAGTGGATTCAGGCAAAAAGAGATTAAGTGACTTGCCCAGGGTCACATAGCTAGTGTCTGAGGCCACATTTGAATTCAGGTCTTCCTGACTCCAGGCTTGGTGCTCTAAACACTGAGCCACCTAGCTGCCTCCTTGCTCAAGATTACACAGGTACTAATTCAGTTTAAGTATACAAATGTATATTTAGTGCCTGCTATGTACAAGGTCCCATGTTAAGTACTATGCGTATGAAAGATAAAAAAATTGACCTTTGATGCAATAGGACTGAGGTATCTGAAATCCAGAAAGGGTAGTAAGTTGGGAAGTGTGCTGGATTTAAAATCAGAGAAGCTGGGTTTAAGTCTTGGCTCTGCTACTTACTACTTGTATGACCTCGGGCAAATCACTTAATTTGTCTAGGCCCCAGTTCTTCACCTGGAACATGTGGGGGTTGGACTGACTGGTCAGCCTTTACCCATCTCTTCTGCTATGAAATTTATGATGTATGGTCCCATGAAATAAGCGCAAAAGAAATGAATGCCCATGGACTATGTTTATGTGAGGAAAAGTACATGAGACTGAATTTATAATAGGGACTGGGGAGGAATTAAAAAAGTGTCCAGATATTTTATGCACTGAAATGCAATTAAGTGTAAATAATTACTAAGCAGGGTCCAGTTGGGTTCATGGTCAAGTTTCTAATAACACATTTAATTTTAAAAGTTTACCTGATATAATTGTAATGTGATATTGTGCTACAAGAAATGATGAGCAGGCAGATTTCAGAAAAAAAATCTGGAAGGACTTACATGAACTGATGCAAAGTGAAGTGAGCAGAACCAGGACAACATTGTATACAGTAAGCATATATTGCACAATGATCAACTATGAATGACTTAGCCCTTCTCAGCAATACAATGATCTATGATAATTCCAAAGGACTCATGGCGAAAAATGCAATCTGCCTCCAGAGAAAGAACTGACGGAGTCTGGATGGGGATTGAAGCATACTATTTTTCACTTTGGGTTTTTTTTTTTCCATTTTTTCCCCTTGGGTCTGTGTCTTCTTTCACTATATAACTTATGTGGTAATATGTTTTGCATGATTGAAGATGAATAATGTGAAATTGCTTATGGTCTCAGGGAGGGGTAGGTGAGGGAAGGAGAGAGAAAATTTGAAATTCAAAAATTAAAAAAATGTTAAAAATTGTTTTTATATGTAACTGGAGAAAAAATATTATTTTAAAAAATTTCCATTACATGTAATATAGAGTTCTATACATAGTGGGCAGTAAGTAAATATTATTGACATGATTAAAAAAGAAAAGTTCACCTGGTCCCTAAGGTCCCTTCCAACTCTGAATCTAAGACCCTATTGACAATACCTTGGAATAATAAATATGATAATAGATCTAGAGCTGCAGGCCATCTTGGAGATTGAGTTTGACTCTCCCATTCTACAGATGAGATAACTGAGACACAGAAAAGTGGGGTGACTTGTCTGCGGTCACAGAGTTAGTGAAGGTTTGAGGAAGGATTTGAAACCAAGTCACAAAGGTGATTCCCAAGTTTCTCTTCCACCACTGATTTGCTGAATGATTTTGGACAAATCACTTCATCCCTCCAAGCCCAAGAACCTCCCAGCCATTCTCTCACCAGTTGCCTTTCCAGGAGCCTGAGACCCTGCCCAGGAGGTTTTAACCCTTTAGTCTTCAGAACTTCAACCATGGCAGGGCCTGTGAGGGTCTGACTTCACTCCTGACTCCCTGGCCCTCTTCTTGCCCACTATGTGAGTACCCTGCCTTACTCCTCACCAGTTCCGGAACTATGATCAAATTAGCTCTGCCATTGCTCCTGGAAGGAGGTATGTCAATCTATTCCCCTTTGGCTTCACCATCCCTGTAACATTCTGGACCAGAGTGTCTCCCCCTGACCTCCACTACCCTATGTGTATTGTCTGACCTTATTGGAATGTAAGCTCCTTGAGGGCAGGCACTATCTTTGCTTTTGTCTTTGTATCCCCATTGCTTAGCACAGTGCTTAAACACCTTCATATGTTTAATGAACATTTTTTATTCATTCATTCACTAGGAAGGAATAGCTAATGAAAAAGATAGTGCAGCATTTAAAAGAAAATAATTCTTTTTTTAAAAAAGTGACATGACAGCTTTTGAGATTTGTATTTTCTGTCATGTGTAGAAAATGTGTAATGAACATTCTCTAGTTTCTTTTGCTCCCTTTCCTTTAGGAAAAAAATGGGCACTTTTTGTTTTTAATGTCACATTGATTTCTGAACATATCCCATCATCACAAAGCTATCCTTTGCAACAAAGATTAAACAAAACAAAACAAAAAAAGGAAAAAATTAGTTCAGCAAATCCAACCAGCAAATTGCCTGTATCTGAAAATCTGTGAAACATTCCTCACCTATAGTGCCCACCTTCTGGATTAAGTGAGGCAAATATATTTTTTCAACTCTCTTTGGCACTGTGATATCTAACATAGAATCTAGCTTTATGGGTTTAGGGAATTGGGATTTAGCAGGAGGATAATTTTCTTTTCCTTGTTGAGGGGGTCAAGTCAAGATTTATATTTCTGAGAGGTAAACAGATAGACTCGGATAAGAAAAACGTGGCATCTTAGGTGATTTCATAGTAAATTAAAGCTCATGTCTAGTTTTCTCAGTCTCAAATGTAACAGGATCGTTGATTTAGAGCTGGAAAGGACCTTAGAGGTCATTTAGTCAAAACAAAAAGGTGAGGAAGGTGGTCATCTACTCTAATGAGCAGGTCATACCATAGAAGAGAAAATGGAGGCCCCAGAGAGGTTGAACTGTCCAAGGTAGCAGAGCTAATTAGGGACAAAGTCAGGCTTTGAACCCTGGCCAGTCCCCGACTCCAAAAGCAGCACTATACCTGCCCTGACATGGACAGCCATCAACAGCTGCTTGAGATTATGTGACTTGTTAAAAGACAGATTTGACCCCAGGTCCTCCTGACTTCAGATTTAGCACTGTGGCTATCATGGCATGCTGACTTTCATAAATCTTGAGTCTTACTAAGCTACATGTTTGAGGCACCTTCCTCCCTTTGCATGGGTGAGCACAGAATAAAGACAACAAAGAGGTGTTCCAGGAGACTGAGTTTTTGCTGCTCTCATACTGTAAAACTGCAATAGCAGATCGAAATCCACAGGGCCCACCATGCTGCTTCTTGTATATTCCTGGGACTAAATGTGTGAATTAGTTTGTCAAAGGCAAGCCTATTTTTGTTGATTTAAAAAAAAAATTTGGGAGCTTAGCTCCCCACCTACCCAAATAAAATGGGGGAGGGGAGTAGGAAAAAGGGAGAGGAAAAAACCCAACCATCTACTCCACCCTTCTCCTATTTCACATGCCGGAGCAATTAGTCTAGATTATGAAGCCATCTTGCATGTAATGCAGTTAGTTAAATGGTGTAATGCACCAGTTATCCAGTTAGTTGCAGGCAGTAAGGTGGTGATTTAGTTAGTGGAGTCAAATAGAGTCATGGTAATCTGATTACCGGGTTGCAATCTGGTAGCAGTTGGCCAAGCTGATGGCTATCAGTCTGAGTGGGTTGCAATTGGTGGGCTGGGATTCTGGGCAGAATGACTGCGTGGGAGCTGCCTACTCCCTGGTGGTCTTTCCCCACTACCCCAAACCCAACGTCCCCAGCATCCAAGACAAGAGTGGAGCCTTCTCTCAACAGATGCTTTCTCTCAGGGGAGATCTTTCAAATAGGCAGTACCCACTCACTCAATTTTTGCCACCCCTTCCTACATCTAATAATTTCATAGGTTCCTCTTTCCATTTTCCCCTCCAACACACACACACACACACACGAGAATGTTCTTTCTCCTCTCTGAGGTCTTCTGGGATTCCTAGTTTCCTTTCAATCTTTTCTTTCAATCTTTTTGCCACCTTCTATACAAGACCTTTCATGATTTCACTCCCCCCATTACTTTGCGTATATTTTATATGTATTTATTTAAATTCAATTCTATTTCACAATTATTTGACTTTTGCCATGCCCTCAGCAGACTATGCAAGAATCTGGTTGTTGTTACTATTGTTGAGTCATGTCTAACTCAACTGATAGGTGAGGAAACTGAGGTAAACAGGGTTAAATGACTTGCCCAGGGTCACACAGTTAGTAAGTGTCTGAGGGTGGATTTGAACTCGGGTCTTTCTGGTCTTCCTGACTTCAGGCCTGGCACTTTATCCATTTTACCACCCAGCTGCCCACAAGATTCTGGGGACATAAACAAAAATAAAACAATCCCTGCCTTCCAGGAGTTTACATTCTACTTGTGTATTTCCCCCTATAGCATGCTTCTGAAGGACAGGATCTGTTTCATTTTTATTGATTTAAAAAATGTCAGGATGTAGCTAATGGCCAGGATCAGGACTATGGTAGTATTCCTTTTTTTTTTTTTTTTAACGTGTGAGGCAATTGGGGTAAAGTGACTTGCCCAGGGTCACACAGCTAGTGAGTATCATGTATCTGAGTCCACATTTGAACTCAGGTCCTCCTGACTTCAATGCTGGAGCTCTATCCATTGCACCACCTAGCTGCCCCAGTATTCCCATTTTCTATTGATCTGACTTGATCTCATGCCTCTCCTTTTAAGTCTCACCTCATTTCTTTTCAGGGATAGTGCCTGGACCTGGGATTTCATTGGTCTAGGGAAGTTCAAGGTGAGGAAACTCCCTGTACCAGTGCAAGTCGGCACCCTCTCTGCAGTCTGTAGCCTCAGAGAGTTGTCTGCCTAGGGCAGTGGTGTCATACTCAAATAGAAACAGGAGGCCACTGAACCATATGTAAGGGTCCCTGCTGGCTGCATGATGATTAGAAAACCACATGCTCACATTATCTATGTCTTACTGTATTTTTATTTATTTTGCTAACTATTTCCCAATTACATTTTGACCTGATTTGGGCAGCTTTTGGGGTATTGTGGGCTTTGGCCTCCTGTTTGACACCTCCGGCCTAAAGCATAGAGAGGTTAAGGGATTTATTTAGGGTCACACTGTCAGTAGGTATCAGAGGAAGGACCTGAACCCCAGTTTTCCTGGCTCCTAAGTCAGTTCTCTATCTTCTCCATCTTTCTTTTTCAGGCACAGGTTGATTTTTGTGATGGTGGTGGGGTAAGGAGTAGGGTTGGCTGAAAAGTAGTCTGATGCCCACTGTTGAGGGCTTGGCAGCCTCTAAGCAGGGCAGTTTTGTTTCTGTCTACTCTTGTTTCAATGTGTAAAAACTTTTGGTCTAATAGGATTCTGTCTTGTGGCTCAGGGCAAAGTCAAAACCTACAGGTTAGGCAAGCAGTTCTCAAAACTTCTTTGTTTTAAAAGGATGCCTTTACATTCTTAAAAATTATTGAGGATCCCTCACCTTCAAAATACCTCTGTTGGGTTGTCTATCAATATTTGCCATATTGGAAATTAAAACATCTTAGTATTATGAAAATAGTTTTGGCTTCTGGGGTCCCCTTGGGGAACCAAAAGGGTCTTGGGGACTCTCAGGGAAATTTGAGAGCCACTGGGTTAGGCTCCTGAAGGATGTAGAAAAATCCAAGTCATTTTACTCTTTCTTTTTTCCCCTCTTTCACCTAGCTCTACCTCCAAGAGAAGAGGTTAGATGATCATACTGGATCGAGAGTTGCCATTATATAAGGATTAGGGCACCTAGGATAGAGTTCCAGGCCTGGAGTCAGAAAGACTCATCTTCATGAGTTCCAACCTGGCCTCAGACATTATTATCTGTGTGACCCTGGTCAAGTCACTTAATCCTGTTTGCCTCAGTTTCCTCATCTATAAAATGAGCTGGAGAAGGAAATGGCAAACCATTCCAATATCTTTGCCAAGAAAACCCCAAATAAGGTCATGAAGATTTGGATACAAGTGAAAACAAAATTATATAAGGATTATAGGGTTTAGAACTGGAAAAGACCATCAAGTTCAACCTTATTTTACAGATGAGTTGAGGGCCAGAGAGGCAAGTAACTTGTCCAAGTTTACATGGATGGGAGGTAGGATTTGAATGCAGGTCTTTTGACTCCACCATGTTAAACTAGGGAGCTTGATATACTTGCTCCTAAAGAAGAAGAAAGTTGCCCTCTTTGGGAAGGAACATCTGTATGAGGCAAGGTAGGGAAGGAGAGAGTGTTAGACTCTGGAAGGTTCATTTGATAGTAATATGACCTACTCTAGTCTTCTTAGTCACTGCAGTTTAACCTGCTCCTATTTCTGGGGAGCTTCAATGACCCTTCTTCCTACCCCATCCCCACCATTTTTATTTCTGAAAGGAGTGGGCCACATTCTGGGGTGAATTGTTAATAGCTACTGCCACCTAGTGGCTTCTCCTCCTCCAGCACTACACACACAGAGGGCCCAAGCAACACTGCCCCTCTGGCCTTTTAACATTGCCAGGCATAGAATGGCTGAACGATAGAAATGGAAGTAACCTTGAAGATCCGGGATGGGTCTCGGTTTCTCTGTCTCTTCTTCTCCCTTTTACTTTTTCTCTCTTCCTTCTCTCCTTCCCTCTCCTAATCTGAATCATCTTTCTTCACCACATAAAACTGATTTTAAACACACACACACCCCTTCCTTTATTTACCTCATTCCCCCATAGAACAGAGAATCTATTACCAGACTGAAATCACTACCCCAAGTTTCCGGCTTACTCTCTCTTTTTTCTCTCCAAAGTGAGGTGAGCTGGAGGGCTCGCCTGCCATGCTCCATGATGGTGACCTTCAACCACCATCCCCAGGGGCTGAACCCAAACAAGCCACTTCAGAGAAAAGTCTCCAGAGCCACCCAACTTCCCCATTTTTCAAAATGTGTGGAGGGCATGCTATAACTGGGAACGTATCGGCTGGAGGTTTAGGTGTATCAGGCAATGGGAAAGAAGGACCCAGAAGACTGATTACCAATAGTCCACGGTTGACTAAAGTGCTCCTTCCCGGCCATTATCTGCAGGGCCATCACTGCCACTGAAACCACTGTTGCTGGCCTTGGACACAGTTGCATGGTTGAATAAAGAAGCCTGCTGAAGACCCCTCAGTCTTCCAGGAGGTGGTCTCCATGGGGAGCTGTCCACAGCTACTGCTTCACTTCAGTGACAGCCAGAAGCCAGAAGAAGGAGAAACCAATAATGGATGAACAAAAGGAAGCCAGCGTTTATCTGGAAGGAGCCCTGCCTGGCTTCCACCGGCAGGTTTGCCACTTTCTCTGCTCACACCTTTACTTTCCTACCTGTGAAAGATTTTTTTCTCCTTTGACTGGGAAGGGGGTAAAGGGAGATGGCTGGAGCAGGCATAGTGACTTGTTAGAAAACTAAATCTGACTGTGCTAGAGGTATCTTCTTTAAACATTTGGGTTGTGTCCAACTCTTAGTGACCCCATTTGGGGTTTTCTTGGCAGAGATACTAGAGTGGTTTGCCATTTCCTTCTCCAGTTCATTTTACAGATGAGGAAACTGAGGCAAACAGGGTTAAGTGACTTGCCCAGGGTCACACAGCTCCAAAGTGTCTGAGGCCAGATTTGACCTCAGGTCTTCCTGACTCCAGGCCTAGTGCTCTATCCACTGTGATTTAAAAATCAGATCAACCAGCAGCTTAACTTCTCCTTCTCTGTTACAATTCTCTTCCTTTCTTCCTTCTTTCCTCTCTCTGTCTCTGTCTCTTTGCCTCTCTCTCCCTCCCTCTCTCTCCATCATCTTTCTTGCCCAGCCTGGAAGTGCAGGAGCCTCTCTTGGGCCTGATCAATACCAATTAACTTGTTCTACTTTCCCTAGCCAGTCTGAGGCCCCCTACTCCCTGAAGCTCACCATACTGGTGCTAAACTTAGTATAAACACTTGATCAACTTCGGCACAGGCATCTCAGAACTCTTCAATTCAAGCTTCTCCAGCAGCAAGGATTGCAGGCATTCTCCATCAGACTTAGTTCTTTGTTATAATTTAAAGGGAAAGGAAGTGAAGTAGAAACAGGACTAGGTTCAGAGCCGGAGGACCAAGGTTCAAATTCTGTGTACCTTAGTAGTCTCTCTGGGACTCATTTTCCTCATCTACAAAATGAATGGGTTGTAGATAATCTGTAAGGTTCCTTCTGCCTCTCAATTCAAAATTCAAGATTCTAAGTCAGGAAAGGTGGCTCAGTGGATAGAGCGCTGGGTCTGGAGCAAGGAAGACCTGAGTTTAAATCTGGCCTTAGACTCTTTGGAGCTGTGTGACCCTGAGCAAGTTACTTAACCTGGTTTGCCTCAGTTGCTTCATCTGTAAAATGAGCTGGAGAAGGAAATGGCAAACCACTCTAGTATCTCTGCCAAGAAAATCCTAAAAGGGGTTCACAAAGACTCACAACAACAACAGGAAAAGTGGAGCTGTCTGGTGGAAAGATCAATCTTAAAAGTGTTGGGGGGGAGGAAGAGGTTAAATTTTGAGGTGAAGATGGATTTATTGTATTACTGTTTCACTTCCCATTTGTTGCCCCAAAAGGGAAGATTGGAGGGGACACTTGCTGTGGGTCCTTGAGGTGGGAGGGAAATAAAAACTTGCTTTTATGAGGTGAAGGCTGAAAAGAAGTTTTTAACACTCTCCACGGTCTCAACATTTGCAGACATTTTGGATGCAATATATGAGGCAGCATGGCTGGTACTGTTGTTTGTCCTTCATTCTCAAAGAGGATCAATAACATTATGAGAGTGATGTCTCAGCTCTGCCTCTCTTAAACCCAAATTCACACTCAAGTTAAGAAGGCAGCATGGTGGGTGAATAGAGGGCTAAGCCCTGGGTTTGAGTGCTGCGCCTGACCTCTTACTACACTTAAGTGACTCCATGGGCATCACTTCACCTTCAGTGTTCCAGGCAACTCTTTGACCCTAAAGTTACAATTTTTTAATTAATTTATTTTGATTTATCAACAATCACTTCCATAAGCTTTTGAGTTTTAAATTTTTCTCCCCCTTCCTCCCTGCCTCTTTCTCCAATAAAGTTATAATTTAATCTGCTGTGATGGATGCCCATGTCCAGACCCATTCTCTACTGCCCTCTCCCCTCAAAATTCAAGTGCAAAGCATTTTTAGGAAATGTGATGTGATTGGGAGTCAGAGTACCTAGTTCAAATTCCAATTCTGCCACAGAGTGACCTTGGGCAAATCACTCTGAGGTGCTCTCTCAGGTCCCTGCTAGCTCTAACTTCTATAATCCTTTGAAAGAAGTGAATGAAGCAATGGGTTCTGCCAGTGCACGTGTGAAAGACTTCCCTAAGAAGTAGGGCAGCTAGGTGGCAAAGTGCCTAGAGCTGCAGCCTTGGAATCAAGAGGACCTGAGTTCAATTCCAGATTCAGACACTTGACACTTACTAGCTGTGTGACTCTGGGCAAGTCACTTAACCCCGATTGCCCTATAGGAAAAAAAAAAGACTTCCCTAAGAAGAACAGCAGTTCACAGCTTGAGCCCTCTTTAGAGAAGCACAATATGAACATAGATCTAGAGAAGGAAGGGACCTCAGAGGTCATCTAGTCCAGACCCCTTCCCCTCATTTTACACATGAGGAAACTGAGGAATAGAGAAGTTAAGTGATTTGACCATCGATAGTAAGTGTGAGAGGTAGGATTTGAACTCACATCCTTTGACTGTAGCTGTGACCCAGGATACGTACAGGAGAGTCCAGAGTCAAGGCTTCAAGGACTGGTTTGAGTTGCTACCTGATGGTTGAGCAAGGGCATAAGAAAACAAGATCCATCTTTGGGTACTTCCCTGCCAAATGCCTTTTCCGCCTTTGATGTCCTGTAGCTGGCTCTGGTCTAGGAATTTCTAAGGCCCATGTCATCTCTAACATGAAACCCCACCCCCAAACAGAGGTGGCCCACCCTTCAAGTCAGAAGATGGAGCTAACATCTTTCCAGCGTCATGCTCCTCTAGACCACCAACACAGGTCTTCTTACTTGAGGCACTCAACACCAAACACACACACACACACACACACACACACACACACACACACACACACACACACACACTCCCCACTTGAAATCTGGTGACTTAGTATAATTCATACTCATTAAGCCTTGGCAAACTATTGGGTTTGCCTCCATCAGGGCTGGTGGACTTCATCCTAGTCCATGGCACAGATAAAGTGCACGTAGATGGTAATAAGGGGTCCCAGGAGAAAGCGTGGCATACCTTTTCAGTCTTGTTTCATATTGCTTCCCTTCATGCCCACTCTGCTTTGGTCAAGCTGGCTGGTTAGCTGATGTGCATAGCTGACATATACACGTACCTACATATCTCTCGTCCCTGTGCCTGTGCACAGGTGGTCTGCCAGGTCTGTAGTGTACTCCCTTCTGCCTCATAGAATCCCTCTTGCTCCAAAGATGCCCATCTTGGGTGCCACCTCTATACAAGACCATGCCTGAACTCCCCAGTAGTTCACATTCTCTCCTTTTTGAAATAACTTTAAATATATTGTCTATTACGTGTGTCCATTTGTATTCCTCTAGTAGGAAGCACACTCCTTAATGTCTAGAACTTGCTTTTCCTTTGTTTCCCCATTGTGTCTCATATAAAGCCTTTACAGGATCTAAGATTTCATTGGTATAGGGAGCTCCCAGTGAGGAACTTCCCCTTTCAGTGCCCCATCAGCATTTCCCAACTCTCTTTAAGAGATACTTACGGTGCTGAAAGGTTTTGTGAAAACGGTCAGTGGCAGGATCTGAACCCAGGTCTTCTTGCCCTCTGAGACCCACACGTTATCCACTAGGTATTGCACACAGTAGACTCTCAATAAATGCTTGTTGAACTGAATTTAGTTTGACCAAAAATGACCAAACCACAAACAAAACAATCCCAAGCTCATCTCTTACGGAGGGTGAATTAATTGGCCAATATTTGCTGATGAAGGAAATATCTTTTCTAAATGATGTGGTAGGCCATTTTACTGAGAACTGTCTTCTTTCTCCAGAGAACGAAAGGAACTAGACCACGTATGTCTGCATTCACCAGCAGGAGTTCTCTGGATAAGGCCCCATACCTGGTAGGCTTCATCTTTCTTCCACTTCAAAGGCAGATGTGAGATATTCCTTTGGAACAATCCCGATGAGGTTGTTCAGTTCTCCTACCCACCAGCCATACATGTTATATTCCTAAAAGAGAGGGAGGGAAGACAGTCACTGCTGGGATCTGGCCATGCCGCTGTCTGCCTCTTACAGCATTCGCAAGGGAAAACTGAAAGGCAACAGATAAATAGACAGAGCATTTATTTGTTTACTATATGCCAGGCACTGTGCTAAGCTCTGGGGATACAAGTAAAATAGTCCCTGCCCTCAAAGGGATAACATACACAGGGGAGCTGGAAAGGGGAGAGGGAGCACATGAGCAGGGGTCTGGTGTGGAGCTATCCCAGAAGATTCAGTGGAGGGCTGGTTCTGAGCAAGATGAGGCAAACTCTTGCTTTCAGAGAGCAGCAGCATCCCAGGGTCAGAGTCCAGAGTTCTGGTGGGAGGGAGATGAGGGTAATGGCTGCAGTTTCGAAGCTATCCAATACAACCTTCTCATTTTAGGTTAGGGGTTAAGTGATTTGCCTTTTGTCACACATTTAGTAAATGTTGAAAAGTAGAGAAAGGATTTCCAATTCAGGTCTGCCTGATTCAAATCCATTGCTCTTTCAACAACCCCCTGCTTTGTCTTCTAGGTCTATGCCAAGTCAAACAACCTGGGCATTTTCAGCATTGTCTCCTTTTACTGCCTACTTTCCTGATCTCTGGGATTACATTTATGCAACGGAAAGCTACCTCTCTACACCTGCTGCGGTTATTGAAGGAGCTCTGAATTATGACCCATCACCAAGGTAATACAAAGGCTACACTCTTAGATGAAGGTTTGACATTTTTCTAAAGAGCAGACTTAGTTATATCTCTGGTAGTTTCCCCTGGTGATTGAGTAGGCTTACAGCTCCAAGGTAGGTGGCAGGAAGAGAGCAGCTGGAGCCATCCCTGGAGACAGTCAGTCTTCTCAAATGACTCCTCCAGTACCAGAGAAAAGCACACATTCTGCCAGAGGGGTTGGGCCTGAAAGTGCTGGGAAATATTTTCTTTGTTGTGATCAGAAGCTCTTAACAGAAAAAAATGTACCCAAACTAATGCTTTCTGCCCACCCCCTCCCTCTTTCCCTTCCCTCCACTAAGCCTAAGTTTACCTTGTTTGGAGGTGCAAGGAGATCCCTCTTCTGGGCTTGTCTGTATTGTCTTAACATTTCTTCCTCCACCTTACTCTATACTGACTTAGTTGTACAAGAGTTAAGGCCTTCTCTACTCGGTTATCTCTGTAATTCTGCTCTGCACCATCTCCTACCGCCTAGTTGTAGCATTCAAGTCCACAGGGCTCTTCATCTCAATACCAGAGGAAGTAAAAACTGTATTCTTAGCCCCTTCACTACCTCATAAGCAGGGGGTTGGAGGCTTAATGGTACGAAGTGGTTTGAGATCTTCCTGATCAAAATGGCTTAACTATGTGTTACAGATTCAGGATTTACCTGCCAGATACTGTTGCAGATGTGGCATGCCTGCTTTGGGAGTTCAGGCAGGGCTCTAGGCTTATGCTTCATGGCCTCCCCCTTAGATGATGCTGGGTCAGTGGGGATTAGATCTTGGGGAAGCTATTCTTTGTCAATGAAAAGAGGGAGCAAGCAGATGAGGCTCTGAAGGGCAGCACAGAGGTGCCCTGCTCCAAGTTAGTGTTGTTTTGCTTGAGGTGAACACTGGACCCTACTGTTTTCAGATGCAGCAGCATCACCACAGTGGCAATAACTGAAATGAGTAGAAAAAGCCCTCAATCCTTGAAAACAAAAAGAAATGTACAGCAAAGCAAGAAGGATAGTACTGAGTCTCAGAGATTACATCCTGCCATCAGAGCCTGGGAACTTAATCTGGGGACCTAGTGGGCCCAGAATCTGCCTGCCTCTTTCACATTTTGTCCCTTGGCAGAGTACCAGAAGGGCTGTGGGGCTGAGATGTTTAAAGCATGAATGGGGAAAACTAAGCCTTTTCCTTCACCCCCCCCCCAAGCACTGCTATAGCCCAGGCAGAACACCACGAGGTATTTTAAAATAATTTCTGCTTTGATGAATTGCTGGGGAGTCCACAATTGCTCATAATCAAAGGGAGAAAAATGCAAATTAGATCCGGCCGAGCACGATCACCACCAAACGTTTATTTCACTGCACAGTGCCAGAAAGAATTAAAACAACATTAAACTCACAGCAATCATGTTTAAGCCCTCGTTTCCAAGTGCCAAATTGCACCACTCTGGATCATACAGATGTTCGTTAATTATGCTAATTTTTATTAAACTATTAAAACGAAGAGAACACTGGCTCAGCCAGGCAGACCCCAGCGCAGAGTGAACTCTGCTCTTGTCTGGAGGTGTTAATTTACTCGAGTTTGGATGAAGTTGCTGATTCTTGTATTTTAGTTTTTGGGTAGCAAGGGAGGACAGGGATTCCTGGAATCAATGATCCCACCACAGTCTGAATTTTCCCCATCTGGATATTGGGAAAGACAGGCTATAAGCTAACATTGTGGAGCCCTTTAACCCTTAACAGGGAATGGACCCTCACCCAGACGAAGGGAGTGAGCACCATGTCTCAACTTCCAAGGCACTAGGGCTCATGTGTTTTAACATACACAGGTAGAGGTAACTTCATGCACACAGGTAGATATGTTATCCCAAGGTCTGTCACCTTTATAACTCAGAGATGTCAATGACAGAGGTTCCCAGGTAAGACTATAAGAGTCCAAATGTTATTTCCGTATCTGTCCCTGTTTCCGGCTATGCTACATTTTTAGAAGCTTTTATTTTAATGACTTCTCTCACCATAAAAAGCTTTAGGCTCAATTAACCTCTTCCCAGCTCTTCATTCACCCTGTACCCCTCCTTCTACCCAAATAATGAAAGAACTAGAAAAAGAATGGCTATTTGGTTCCTGTTATCTCTGGCTGGAGAACAGAGCAGCTTCTGTATGGAAGAGCAACCTGAAATAGACGCAGTCCTCCTCCTTCCTCATCAGCAACCATCAACTGTGTTTATGGGGGATCGCACATTCCCATAAAAGGATTTATGCAGCTAATCTCCATCAACAAGGAAAAAAAGCCCCACCAAACCTGCCATAAAAAAGAACAGCAAATTCTATAAACAAAAAAGCAGTATGGCCACCAACAACGGGCGGATCACACAGCTTGAATCTGCCTCAAGTGGTTTCCCTGTCGCTCTTTATAGCTTCAAGACTATCACGGACCTCCTTAGTGTTTCTCCTGTCACAGGGCCCTGAGTCCCTGTGTGGTGCTGCAAATACCCTGTCAGTAGGTGTCAGGGGATATCAGGGGAAAAACAGCAGGCGCCCATCATAAGACTTAAAAGAGATTAAATACCCCCACTACGTGATTGCTGCATTTTAATTTCTCTCCTCCCTGCTGGTTCCTATTTGTATAATCTCTTACACTGCTCCCCTGGAGTAGCACAGACATGACCTGGAATGACCACTCTGTCCTGGGATGAGAATTCAATTTCCAGGCTCAGTGAGTCCTGGGCTGTTCCAACAAAAGGCATTTCTCTATCCTCCTTTAGGGTAAAAGGAAAACGAAGCCTCTGTGGTCTTGGAGGCCTGGGCCTACCTCATCAATCCAGCCCTGTCTTGCTTTCTTGGGGCGAAAGGAGAGTTTGGATTCTGTTTTCAGACTTGGCTTTCCCAGTGTGATTCGTGGCTTCCACAATGAGTTTCACCTTCCCTGCTGAAGGGACCATTTCTTCCTTGGCATAAGAGACAACTAAGCTGGTTTATTCCTTCTAGACAGTGACTGGAAAGTTGTGTCTTTTGAGGGCTTCATTCCAGACCCACAAGATGGTTTCTGGAATGGGTTACTTGACACTCTCATTGCTCTTGAGGACATTAATGGCAAAAACTTCCTTCCTGGAAATTCTCTTTCCTCTCTAATGAGGTTCCCCTAGGCCTCAACGGGACAGAGTCCCTGAAAATTTCTTATATCTTCCTACTTTTCAACATCCTAAGGTCATTCCAGCAGACTTTGTAAATAACATGATTCTCCTACAGGAGAATAATTGATCAGTTCTTAAAACAGAAAATCAATGACTCATTGATATATGTACAGGAAAGGCTAATCAATCACAGAATTATTGGTTTATGATTGCTTATTCCTCTCATTAGTGGTGGTGTATCATATATTATCATTACGGTTTTTTTTTAAACAGAATTCTAATTTATAAGCAATGCTGATTCTGTTATTCTGGGGTCAGATTATTATTCTGGGTTGGTCAAGAATTTTCTAACTTTTAAAACCTTGCTTGGTACCAGAGCTATTTTGAAAATTTATTGCCTTCTTAGGATGTCAAAAATTAAATGAAGCCAGGGCTCCATGATAAATACCACCCCCTCTAACTTCTGAGAAAAACAAGGCTGGAAGGCAGAATGACTCACTACAGGCAAACAGGTGCCAATTTCCCGGCACAAGTGGTTTTACGTTGAGTGTTTTCAGAGGGAGAGGGGAAATGGTCAGCTGGGTGGTCAGTAAATTAGGGGAAGCTAGAACCTATGAAAGGTTCAGATCTCTGTATTCTGCTGTAAACCTCTGGCAGCTCTGGGTTTGCCAGTCAGCCTCACTCCTTGTCTTGGGTTCTTGACAATAATTTTCTTCTCTTTCATTATTCAGAATTTTGGTCTAATAAATCATAATAAAATGAATTATTAACAGTGCTCTGTTGAACCATTATTTATTTGTTGTTACCGGGAACTTGCTAAACATAATTCTGTGAACTGGTGGTGGATGGTTCTGATGTGATATGGTACAAAGTGGTTTGAGCTCTTCCTGATCAAAATGGTCTGTTGGCCAAGTTCAGTCATGGCAGACAGATGTAGGTAGGTCTCTAATAATAGCATTGGTACAAAGGCATACACAATGCCAGGTAGGGCAAGTAATGTGTGGGTCTGAATATATACTTAGAAGGAAAGAAGAATGTTTCGAATGCTTAAAGGGAGAGGAGGAGCTCAGCCTCCTGAGGCTAGACTTTCGGGTATTGAACAAGTGTTGGGGATGTGAGGTCCATAAGAAAACTAAGGCGTCTGAAAGCTCAAACTGGATGTTTATAGAGTAGGGTACATCCCGAAGAGAGGAAAACATAGGGCAGGTAAGTTAAAAGTCCAGGCTCGGCGTACATAGCCACATCAGGGAAGGGAGAGGGAAGAAGACAGCCCAGGTAGACCTCGAGAAGAGGGATGGGAGAACTGGGCAGAGAGGTGAACACATGGCTAACCAGGAGGGCCAAGCAGAAGGGACGGCATTCAGGAACAATAGAGAATGTACCCATTCGGTCGGAGCCGACAAGATTGCCATGCCATGTGAGACTGCCGTATTAATATGTATTCCATAAGCAGCTCCCAGCTTTGCGCGGCTCTGTTTTGTTCTGACCGCAGTACCAGCCTCAGGCACCACAACACAATTTGGAAACAATGTGACGGAAATGTTTAATCTGCTCGGCCCATCTGTGCTGCGTATTTCTCCAGATCTCCCTGAGAGAGGCGCCTCGAATCTCCACTTTGCCTTTAATATTCTCCTAAATCACCTCCCGACTGCACTTGAAGGGCCATTGCTACAATATCACAGGTTCATCTAAAGTGCAACGAAAGGGGGGGGGCGGAGGCTGGGATATTTTTTATTTTAAAATAATTTCAGAAGATTGTCTTTTCTGGTAACACTTCTCCCCCACCCCCCTTTTTTTAAAGAGCGTGGAAAAAAAAAAGTTATTCTACTGTTGCCGTAAGGTTATTGAGGCTGTTTGGTGCAAAATAGGACAGGATGGAGTGGGATCGTTCTCTGAAGAATTATTTTTATTAATCTTGATTCTCTCAATTGGAGATGGGGGGCAGGAGGGAAGCTCATTTTCTCATTTCCCTCTCCCGTGTACCTTGGGCATGTGGCGCTTGCATCTGGGGTTTGTGCCTGTCGGCTCTGCAGTCTTTGGCAGCCTGGGCCAACAGGCCTTACCCAGCTCTAAGCCAATCATCTCGCCCTGGGCAGGTGCCCTTGCTTCATTACCAGGTCACTGTGCCTTGGTTTAGGAAAGTTCAGGGCCCGCTACTCCAATTTTAGATCAAACTGTTTTCCTTTCCCCCTTTAGCAAGCGGTTTTTTTTTTAGTGGTTTCACTCTCATTTTCCTTCTTTGCCACAAAAAATCTTCCCAGGAATGGTGATGGGGGAGGGCAGAGTATCAGAACCCAAGGTGGGTATTGGGGGGAGAGGGAGAGGAAACATGTGTGAAGTTACCCCCATTTCTGAATAGAGACAAATGGAAGAGGATTGAGGCAGGGCCCAGGAAATTAGGATTCCTTTTGCTCTGCGAATTAAAGAAATGAATAATTTAATCCTTAAGATTGTTCTGGCGAGGGAAAGGCAACGTCCCAGTTGCGAAGCCCTACAGCCTGTCGGTGTGTTACATCATCTGCACACATAGGCGTTTCCATGGCAACCCCTTATAGCTTCATTTCCTGAATCCCTCTAGGGGGTGTCACAGCCAGATCCACCTGCTTTTCACCCTACCCTCAGTGGGGTCATGGCGAGGTCGCCAGAATAAATGAACGTGGGTACTAATGATGTGTTTACTGGCTGTTTATGCTCTGTGTGTGTCAGGGGCACTCACATTTAGAGAGCTCATTATGGCTGCAATTAGAATGCACCATCGCTAGATATTTAACTCCTTTTTCTTTTAAATTAGCATTTTAATAACATTCTTTGAGCAGAGAAACAAAATGACCATTTTTCACGGACAAACTTCTAGCTGTAGGTGCAACTTTAATGGTAAAGTTGTTGGAAAGGGAAGGGAGGAGGTGGGGGGGAAGGCCATTTTTACCACCTTACCCTCTTCTTTTACTGAAAGGATATTTTTATTATTTGCTTTCCAACACACTCGATTTCCTAAATTTGTTTGGAATCCAATTATTATTATTATTTTTTATGCAGCTGAAAGTCTGGCGCTCTTGTTGGATGGACATTTGCAGCTACTGAAGTTAACTTGCCATGTTCCCCGCCAAAGGGAACCAGGCAATGGCAAGAGTGTGTGAGGTTTGCCTAGTTCAGAGATGCTCTCTGTAAGATGTAATAGTGATTAGATGATCTACTATTATCAAAATATCTCTCCACAGTAACCCCAAGGGCTGCTTCCTTTAAAAAGGTCACTGCAATTATTTTCTCTTTCTGTTTCATAATTCTCCAGATTGTCTTTTATGACTGTATAAAAATGGCAAGACCCTTGTAATTATACAGGAGGCAAAGGAGAAAGAAGGATGAAAAATAATAACATCAGTAATAACACTTGGCACTTAAAAATGGGAAGATCTCTGGTGCATCTTGAGAGAGAAGAGGGGGAACCAACAAAGAAGCCATAAAGAAACCCATTCACTCTCTCACCCCTTCCAAATATTCTACTGGATTTCAGTAAAGTAGGAAGATGCTTAATTTTAGGGATTCGGCCTTTGCACCTCTTCTGGAGCATCTGCTTGTTTACAGATACTGTTGGTCGAAAGTATAGTGAAAAATAACAATTTGAATGTTTCGATTATCTTTCCCAGTCTGTTCCATTTTCATTATTTATTTCCTATAAATCGGGACCTTGCTGAACATAATTCTGCAGACAAGGAGGTGGATGGGACAGCCGACGTGAACGGGGAGATAGATAGTGGGTGCGTGTAAGATAGATGCTATGCGTTTATGAAAAGGAACAGTATGTCTGCTCCTGAACATCCACAAAGTCGAGCAAGCAAGCGTGTAAACTATAAAGGGTATTTATAGGTGGAAAAAAAAACAGGTACAAGGGAGACAGTGTGGGAACAAGTGTACACACACACACACACACACACACACACAGAAAAGGTTTTGCTCCTCTGGCTTTTCTGGAATCCACGTCCAAGTTCCACCAAAGAGGTGCCATTCTTAGACTGGACTCTGTGTCAGCTCTCAAATCTTTCCATGACAACAGACATAGGGAGATTTCACAGCCAGAAGACTTGGGAGGTCAATAGTTGAAAATGCAAGAATTTGAGACCCACAACGAAGAAGGATTTTCATAGAGGCTAGAATGATCCCACTGAACAGCCTTTCCTCAAAGGAAGAAACTGTAAAAGACTGTAGCCCAACATGAGGCATTTGTTTAGAAAAAAAAGGAAAGAAAATGCAGGTTTAAAATGTTTACTCTTCTGTATCAGCTCAGTTGCACCTTAGAATCTGCCATTTCATAAATAAAATACGGATGGCATAGACTATAATTTGGTGATAGCTACCCCAGGACATATCGAGATACACTTCTGTTATTTTAATTAAATACTGCATTATGGTTTGTGACAACCACAGTGCTACAGCGTAAATGAATTTGGAATTAAAGTGTTACTTAGGCATCCAGTAATTTTTGTTTCATTTCTTAGTTTTACAAAGCAAATAGCTATAAAATCAAGATGTTTGTTCGTTTACAGATGGAGCGGTAGGTTTCTCTCTCTCTCTTTCCCCCTCCACTTGTACAAAAAGAAGACATTGTTTTAAGGACAGCTCTCCAACACTCCTGGCTTATGAGCCATATCACAAAGAAAAATACCTCCCCTTGACTGTAATGTGAAATGCTGAATATTAATTGCTGGTGTTACTCTTATCTTCCTAGCCGGGTTCTGTCTTTTAACAATTATTCTGATGGGCGGCAGTATTAGGCAGCCAGATTTTCCTCCTTTGTTTAACAGTTAGTCAGCCTATTTAATTTAATTTAATTAAAAAAATATCCTAAAGTTCACAGGGATTTCTGGAAGTTTTTTGTTTTTTTTGGAACTCCTGCTGCCTTTGCTGTGGAAGGGAGAAGGTTTAGGAGACAGAAATTGTTGCATTTGTGGGTTAAAAAGATTTGCTGTAAATTCCTGCAGCTAAAAAAAATAATAAAATGTGTTTTTCATTCCAGTGATATTAATGTCCCCTTAATGAAACTAGAGAGGGCATTACAGTTTGGGAATTATCAATTGGTTGGTTTAAATGTCATTTCACCAGCAAATCAGGAGAAAGGTTCTGAATATTCTCATCTGTCAGGTGCAGATATTCTCACAACATTTTATTCTACAACAGGATTGTTATATATTTGATTTGGCGAAGCACTGAATTTTAAAAAAATCTCTCACATTTCAAAATAAAAGTTTCAAATGCAAGTTTTCTGAAACTATTTTCTCTCCTGGCCAAGTCTGAAAATCAACATAATCTTTTAAAATTGCATCTCTGATACTGTTTATTTTGCTGGTCTGCTCATTCCCATTTTCTCTTGAACTAATTGTCCTAAATCCTTTATAACTTTAAGCAATGTGGAAGTTGTTGCCCCCAACTGTGGATTATCTGGCTTATAAACTGCATTAATATTTTTCTAGTTTGGTCAAAGGACTGAAATTATCTATTGCCGTGAATATTAAAATGAAACAAGGCAATCCTACAGGTTTGGGAAATCTGATTTCTTTTTGAGAAAACCATTACATGGAAACAAAGCTTTCACCACCAGTTTTAAATAGACAATCTCATTGAAATGTCATCCAGCCTTTTTGGCAGATTAGTGAGGAGTTTATTACTCAATCTCTGTCTAATAAACATGGAGTTGACTCTAGAGAAGCTGCTTGTTATAATACTGGCTGCGGAAAATGGAGGGAACGTCACTGTTAAAGACACAAATTTTCCCCGTAATAT